CTTCAGCTTCTAGGTGGGTGGTCATTCTGCCTTGACCAGTTATGGGGAGAGATGAGAGAGAGGAGACGCGAGAGAGTACACAGAGACAAACAGATTGTAACAGCAACAACAGAAGCAACAATACAATTAACAGTAAGTGATCGATGACGTCATGAAAAAGACGGTGACGACGACGCCAGCAGCAACGAAGGGACAGCGAGCAGGACAACAGCAACCGCAGCAACAACAATAATCAACAACAACTAATAATAATAACAATAATATTCAGTGATATTAGCAATGCAGTCTAGCAAGGACCATGCAAGGAGGCTCCACCAGGATCCATGAGAAACCTGCAGGACCGATAAAGACAAGAACTCCGGGAAGAAGTGAAGTTAGTAACATGCATTAATGGGCATGAATGATGTGCAGAAACGAGAGAGAGAGGAAGAGAGGACTCAGTGACAATGGGAATCCCCCGAGTAGTTAGGCCTATAGCAGCCATACGAGATGGTGAGATGGCATAATGAGATGGTTCAGGACTCACCTGATCCAGCCCTAACTATAAGCTTTATCAAAGAGAAATGTCTTAAGCCTAACTCTTAAATGTGGAGAGGGTGTCTGCCTCCAGAACCTCGACTGGAAGCTGGTTCACAGGAGAGGAGCTTGGTAACTGAAGGCCTCTGGCTCCTGTTTACGTTTTAGAGACTGTAGGAAACAAGTAGACCAGCATTCAGAGAATGTAGTGTTCTAGAGGGGTAATATGGTACTATGAGCTCTTCAAGATATGAAGAGCTCACCAGTAACCAGAGTCGCACCAAGTAACACGGTTTTCGTTGACATGGCACAAGTCCTAATTGAATCACTATGAAGGAATAGTTTGACATTTTCAGAAAGACTTTTATTCCATTTGTTGCAGAGAGCTAAGTGAGAAAATTGAGACCACTTCTCATGTCTGTACGATCAATATAAAGCTAGAGCCAGGAAACAATTAGCTTAGCTTAGCACAAAGACTGGAAACGGGGAAACAGCTAGCCTGGCTCTGTCTGAAGGTAATACAAATCTGCATACCAGCACCCCTAATTAATCGGTATGGTATATGTTGTTTATTTAATCCATACAAAAATACAAACAGCCTGCGAAGATATGATGTGTTCATTGGTGAACTGTGGCGATGCTGGTAAGTGGATTGACAAGGTTTTATGCAAAGAGAGAGACATTTCATGTGCATCTTGTTCTGCCTTCATAAGATCACTAACATAAATGTACCCAGGAGCAGTGAGAAACTTGTCTGGTATTTATTCAGACACTTAAATGTTAAATGTGAAAGTTAACAAGAAACTCAAAATGACCACCAATTTAACGACATAATGTTATACACTTGACATTAACTTAATGGAACAGCAATCTGGTCCAAATCCAGACTGATAGCCAACAGACCTGCCTTTAAAAACGGAGCTGGCCAATCACCCTCCCAAATATTCAACAGCTACTTAGTACCCTCTCATGACTGCATATCAGGAATGCCAACACATAAACTGCTGCTGTGTTACTGTGCTGCTGTGCTCTGGAAGCATATGGTTTGCACTAAGCGCTATATGAATGTGATGACAGGGTGTTGCTGGAGGCAGCCGAGCCCTCAGATGACTGCTCACTGCTGGCCTGGCTGGAGCCTACTATATGACCTACTGCATGGGGGACGTCCCACACAGCACTCAGTGGCTGGCAGTGGCTTTGTGCAGGGCATTTGGCAGAGAGTGGCTGATGAAGGGAGATGGTAAACGAAACGCAATAAGAATTTCCTGCCAATGTTGAATTAATTTGAAATTTTTTCTTCGCTGTAGGACACAGCTCTAGGCTGCCCCATTGTTTCTGGCTTTATCAATAGAGGTCATTATAAAACTGTGTATAAAAAATACATATTTTGGCATGCTCTTTTTATTGCCTCTGATGTCTTCTTTCTGTTTGCCTGTCTCATAAACGTATAAATGGATCCCATGAAATTCGGTGGAGAGACAAAACATATGATTATACTTCAGTGGTCATCTGTGTCTGGGGTTTCCATTATACTAAGGACCAGTGGTGGAAAGTAACTAAGTGAATATTTGAGGTACTACTTGAGGTTTACTTGAGTACTTCCATTGTAGGCAACTTATTTCAACATTGTACTTTTCTGTAGTAAAATGATCTCCACTTCAACAAGGTACTTCTGCAATAATAGTATTAACCCACACTCCATATTATGGTCCATCCTGGACTTGAACCAACAAAAATTAAGTCCCTATGAACAAAACTACTGCTGCCCCAAAGTCTAATAATCCAATAATGCAATATAACAAAGAGAGGGGCCATTTTGCTATGTCCTACATCACAGCCAATATCTCTGAAAACAAACAAAAAGAGGGACTTTCCAGATCTAACATCTTGCAGGATTAGCACATTGATGCACTTTGAGATTTAGGTGATAGTACTGATGCCTTGGGGGTAACAGCTGGTTAGATAGATGAATACCTTCTATGGAGAGGGCCTACTACTCATCAACATGTTCATCTGGGTATCAAATTTAAGTGTTTAAACATATATGGACTGCACTTGACCTCCATGTCTACCTTTACAAAATTGAGGAAGCTTGTGTGGCACCTTGTGTTAGTCCAGCTCAGGAGAAGTTAGCTGTTAGCGAGCGTGGATAATCCATGGGTTGGCACAGGCCCAGTGCGTGTCCATGTGTTCCTGCAGAGAGCAGCATTCCCCCAGGAGCTGCTGTCAGCACAAACTCAGGAAACAGTTATACTGTTCATATTTTTACAAGCTGCCTCTATGTGCAGCTAAAGTGAATCATAAGCTAATCACTGCCAGCTGCCCCCGGCCCTGCTCTCACTAGTCTCTAACTTGCTAGCTACTCAGGCTCAAGGTATGAGGGGAATCTTTCATATGCTACATTAATCTCTCCCCATATTCATCTTCACTGACCATCCTGCACTACTCTGCTTTCTCCAGCTAGCCCACCCACTCCTGTCCCACTGCAGTGAGAGAGGGATTTGACCATTGACCTGTTGATTCCTGAAGGTAGATTTGGAGGGGATTTCAAGGTGAGGCAGATCAGATTGATGAACTAAATTTCATAAATATCAAGAAGGATGAGAGGTTTGGGAGAGTGTGGGCAGATATGTAAAATACCCTTGTGTGCTGTCCACCGTAGCAGAGGGATGTAACCTCTGATGCATAAAGATGGTGTTTATATGAACATTTTTAAAGTGATGAGCTAGATGGTTTATGAGACCTCACTCTTTGCTCACTGAGAGCACAGCTCAGTGACTTTGACTTGAGTGGCTCATTGAATTTTTCTGTGAGTAATATGGGAAAGCTGATGTCATTGTGGGAATGAGATTTGTTTCAGCACTGAGGCTCATGACTAACACTGATCATAGAAATGCAACAACAATAAGATGAAAAAGACTTCTAACATGGAAGTCCAGGCTAAATGACTTGTATTCAGGTACGTCAACTGTAACTATCGACCAGAACCAGTAATATAAGTCGATGTGCTCTTATTGCATTAAAGAAAATCTTCCCTCGGAGTCTTCGCTCTTTGTACTGAGGTGTGATGGGATGGAAAGAAACCTGAAGATTCATGAGCAGTCTTGCTTTGCTCCTCGTTCGTCTTCCTTCACCTGCAGCTAACTGTCCCACTAGGGAGTGGGGATCAGACCCTGTCCTCCACAGACCCTACATTCTCCACAAACACCCTCTGCCTCCCCTCTCATCTCCCCCCTTTGTAGCCGACCATTAAGCTCCTCTGATGGATGACAGGGGCTTCTTTGGCGCAGACTTGTGGGAACACTTCTGGTTCTGGTTAGCAAGCTAAAGCTGTGCTTGAGAGACAGAATACAGCATCCTGGCTAAAGCTAAGCTAAAGCTAAGCCAGTGCCGCAGGCCCCAGTGTGAAGACCACATCGGGATATCTTTGGGTCCCTGTTAGTCCCAGAAAGATAACTGCCCTAAACACAAAGGATCCGTTTTTACACAGACAGTAAATCACCTCAATCTTTTCTGTGAGTTAACTGTTTGTGTAGACGGCTTAATTGAAGACACAAAATGAGTGACTGACCGCATGCTGCCATGAGCAGCTACCTCAAAAATGTTTTTGTTTGGACTGTGAGATTGACACTCATTTTCTGGATCATTGTAGAATGATAATGGCTCGAAGACAGACAGTGTCGAGTTACGAGCCGTGAACGTCCCCCTTCAGAGCAGGAACTCTTAATGTAGCTCTGTGCCGTCTCTGCCGCCACTCTAATTCAATTAGCCCGTGTCAATCACTGCTGAGGTATCAAACCACCTCAGACTAATATTTGCAGAGGGGCTCTAATATCAATACGCAGGTAAAGGCAGTAGACTCTCCGCTCTGCAATTATATAACCACATATGGCTGAAAGCAGTGAATGACAACATTTACCACCCATCTCTCTATGAGCACAGGCCGCCATGGTGGAACAGCCATCTCTATGAGAGAGGCTCTACACACACGCGCTCTCACTCACACACATGCGCTCGTGCTACGCCAATCGCCAAATGTATTTTAACTGGCATATTTTAATATTAGCTTCAGAAAAATGACACTGGTATTTACAAAGTAAAAGGAGTCTAAATGGCCCATTTGAGCCAGAGTAAACACATTTAGCTATGAGGTCAGAGGCTGCCACACTAGAGGCAGGTTAGTTTGATAATTTTGTCAAAATGTTTAATGTCCTGCTAAACCGTTTGGGAAAAACAAGTGCGGCGCTGATATTGACTTTGGCAGCAGCCTGTATACTCAAGGCTTTAAACATGTAAATCAAATGCTCCATCTTCAGGCAAATGTGAGTAGACGTTTCATGCCCGGCTAGTTGCACTGTAGGTCCCTGCCACAACTCGCTTTTTGACTACTCACCCCACCCTCTATCCATCCTGTGTGATCAACAGATAGGGCACTACACTATGTGTGTCTGTGTGTGTGTGTGTGCATTCATGAGTGCTTTTAGGTCAAACATCTTGATTTGATGAAATCTGCAAATTTGGAAATTGCTGCAATTTTTGAATGCAGCATTGTCATCACGTCACAAGTATGGAGGAGCTTAAGGTGGCGAAGATATACATGAACACGGGAGATTACTTATATTGCATGATGGGCACTTAAGTTACATATGAGAAAAAAGGGGATTCTCACCACCAACCACACACACACACCCACACACAATGTTCAGATGGTCCTCATCAAGCACCCAAAGTAACAGGCCCACATCTCACATCCAATATGTCACCCTGCCTGTGTAACCACTGTTCACAGCATCCCCTACTCAGGTCCTTTTCACTTTCCATTCCTCTCCTCGCGCTGGTAATTGTGCATGCTGCTGAGAGAGAGGCACTGAAACCGCAAGGTAATTTCAACAGTGCTCTCCTCCTGCTTTCAAGGCTTGAAACAACACATCACCCTCCAGATGCTTCCAGGCCAACCTGACGTCTCTGAGCGGCGCTCGGACGTTTACATCCAGGCGGTTATGCTGCGCCGGCCTGCTGCACTGTTTGTGCTGGAAGTCTGCTGTGCCTCACACCCCAATCACGTGCAATCATGTGTGTTTCCTGGATTACTATATGTAAACTCCTCTCACTCACACACACTCCCACACACAGAGACACACACGAGTACAAATGCATGCACGGCCCGTAGAGTAAGAAAGCCATCAAACCTCATTCTGTCATAGGCCTATGCTGTATATACTCCCATAAAAGCGTATATACACACACAGACACCCAAAGAGCAGACCACAGAGTTAAAAGAAAGCATGTTTACGTAACACGATCACTTTTGTTACACATGGTTTATGATGCTTGATTCCATCTACTCTTTCTCAATGTTATTAAACTGTAAAAGACTGTTTTCCTTCTCTACCTCCCTGGTTTTCGGCACATTGTTTAGTACAGTACACGCTGTGCCTCCTGACGACACTCGGGCTCTGTAACTCTGCTCTGCTTGCTCTCTGGGGAAATCATCGGCACTAATAGGAAACATGCTGTGCCTTTAACACACAAAGAACAACACAGATACGCGAAAAGAGCCGTCCATTTCTGCTGAAGTGTCTTTGAGCAAGACAGCTGCACTTCTAAGAGCTGCAGGTTTTCCGTGCGCCCTCGGACACTCCCGGTGTACCTAATGTAAGAGGCTGCTTTCTGAAAACATGTTTTAGTACAGTAATTAATGTATTCGTATTAAGGTCAAATAACTTTTTCATGAAATTTAAAACAGGACTGAATAGAAACTCAGATGTAGCAATACTGGCACACTTACTAAATAACATGAACTTGTCTTCAGTTTTATTGCTTTCCCTTTAAACGTATCCCCAGTTGTACTTATTTTCACAATTATCTGGCAGATGCATCATCTTCTAAGATGGTATAATCTAATGAAGTTTATTGTTTGTGTTTATTGTATGATCCCTCAATAAATCAAGTGTCTAATTCAGTATATGACGGTCCGTCAAACATGATTACTAGTAGATTTGTACAATATGAATTGTTTGGTAATGTTTTCTGTTTCCAAAAAGAATTTGTTGATTCTTGTCACTGGAGGATAAAACAGCTCACAACATAAACACCAAACGATGATCCTATCACACTGCTTTGACACTATACTCTCATTAAAGTGTGAATCATGTCCGGCCAAGCAGTTTGGTCATCGTGCTGATGCTGTCGTATCCAGTGGAGATGGGGGACCTTATGAACACTGATTCCGGTGCCAGAAATAGAGCTGGTGATGTGTCACGTTGACCCTGTGGTAACCAGCACAGCCCCTCCTCCCATGAGGGATGTCTTAGGGGTTGTGGAGTTGAGTTTGTTTCCAGTGAGACAGCCAAATAGGTTTGTCAGCAGGAGTGAGAGACTTAACCTAGCATGATCTAAATGGGTACGCCCTGCGGTTCTGCCTTGATTCAGGATGATAAATAGGTGAAAAACAATGGAAACACAGCGGGTCAAAATCAGTGTGATGACCATAATACTATCAGTGTGATTAATAGAGGAAGAAAGTTCAACTGACCTGTGTGTGTTGGTATAGTTGTGTAAATGGTAAATCTATGGTCAACTGCAATAATTTATTTTTTGTTTGAGACAAAGTGGTCCGTTTTCTCAGTGAAGATGTTGCTCTTGCTCACCTTTATACATTGAGAGTTTTTGGTAACTTTATCTTGACTTTACTAGACTGCAATGTCACATGATATATTTGAGTTTACAGAAGAGGCCAGTCAGAAGACGTTTTGGCTGTGTGACAGGAGTGTGACAAAGCCTTACATGACTGTTCGTCGAATTTTCCACTCATTAACCAGGAAATGTACACTTTTATCAGATTTACTGTTTGTATTTCCCGCCCTTTTGGCACATTTATAAGTGTACCTCCCTTAACAGTGACCTGTAGCGTCAGAGTAAGTATGACACATCTCCACAGCTGAATACATTCATGTTACACATCCCCGGAGGACTCACCCGTCTCTCGTGCCATCCATGGCAGCCAGCGGGGACAGGTGGTGAGGGCTGCCGAGGTCCCGGTCCATTCGGTGCTGTCGGGAAGGCAGGTCAGTGGCAGAGGTGGGGTTAGGGGTAGGGGAGAGGAGCTCCACTGAGGCGCTGTGGTGGGGTGTGCTGGAGCCAGTGTACAGGCCTGAAAGACAAACAAAGCTAATTGAGTAAATGTGGCGAATAAACTTGAGGGCCCTGTGCTCCATATTGTGAGCAAATTAAAAGCCATTTCATGGCAACGGGTCCTTGTTTTGACAACCTTCATCCAATCAGAGCGCTTTGTAAAATAAAATATTCTGTGTTTACGCTGTTTGTGATTTAGGGTACATTGTGCTGCCACGGGGTTTGGCCTTGTTTGTTCTTATTACACAAGAATAAACTAAAATGTTACATATGTTTGCACAGTGACTTTGAACAGTAGGGGCAATAGGGTTATTGGATAGCCTCTGTTTCAGGTGTGTGCATGCTTATGGTTATGTGAATACATGCAGGCGTATACAGTATGCAATGTATTTCTACATCTGCATGTACATCATACCATCATACTATCAGTGTCTTTTTTTTAACAGGCAGCTGGAAATGGACCGGAAAAAAAAGAGAATAGTGTCATTTCCTGACTCTGTTCCAAAACATCCAATATGCCTTTCACTATTCAATCATTGAGTATTTCTAAATCATATTTGATTAACATTTTGTTGACACAATGGTCCGTGGAGGTGGAGGCGGGGGTGCATTATTTTACACTGAAGCCAGATGCCTGCTGCCAACTTTTTCTACAGTTTCAAGCTGTGGACTCCAATTGAACATTGATGATTTTTTCCTACTCAGAATGTGTTGCAAACTAGGACTGCAACAAATAGTTATTGATTATAAATTGTTTCCATTTGTTTTTGTGAAAAATGGTCCCAAAGCTTAAGGTGACGTCTTAAAATGTCTTGTTTTGTCTAATAGCCCAAAACCTAAAGGTATTTATTTTGCAGTATAAAACTGAGAAAATAAGTTTTTCTTCTTTTCATTTTAGAAGCTGGAAGCAGCAGGTTCTCAGCCATATTTGCTGGATTACATGCTCCCTGAAATCCCTGTTAATGTGTAACCACATTGCACATATATCTGCTAGTCTTTGGAGCTGCACTAGCACATATCAGTCGACAAATCCGCTGTAATACATCCGACCTTTCCATCAGTTGACATGACTTGACATTTTGACAAGTTTCCACTGGTTTAATCTAAAAATTTTGCTCCAGAGAGAGACTTGTGACAAATCATAGTGAAATTTATGTTCAGTCAATAACTAGACATTGTGCACACCTAGTCTTGATAAGGGAAGTTACACTTAGATCTGCACTTGTTCTCGCAACACAATAAATCTGCTCTCTCCATCTTCTGCTCCGTTTATCGGCTGATTTTTTTCCCAGCATCCACGAGGAGAGCGGCGCGCTGACTGTCTGGGGCAGTTAACCAGCAACGAGAGGAGAAGACAGAAGGAGATGAAAGGATGAGAAAAGATCGGTGCTCCTGGTTTTGCCGTTTCCAGGCCCAGCTGTTCTCAAGTGGAAGCATGCCGAGGCCTGATCTGACAGCACTCTGAAATGGTTACAAGCTTGATTCATTACCCCCAAATCATCAATCACAGACCTTAAATGTTTTCCCCTTTAGCCCCAACATCTGCTACAAGACCGGCAAAACAGTCGACAAATAATGGCTGTGATTGCCTCAATTTCATTGCTAGTTCCTTGTGGAGGGAGAGAGAGAGGATCTGGTGGCACTCTTTAAGGGTTAGTGGAGGATTACGTTCTGAAGATGTTGTGGATTGGCTCTGAAATGCTTCTGGTTGAGTTCAGGAAGAAATCTCTGTGTGAGCGGTATATCAGCCATTCAGCGTAACAGCAGGAGCATGTAAACCTCTGCACTAAAACTATGATGAGTCCTTCCTCTGGTTAATCAGAGAACGCTCTAATTATGCTCTATAAAACAGAGAGGGGCTTCTCGTAAGTCTCGCTGCAGCCATGTGAATAAGAGCAGACTTATAACAGGCGAACAGGAAAACAAGTTTAGTTCTGACTGGAAGCATGACTCATTTTCTGCTCCACAAGTGTTAATGATGGGATGGCTGCCCACTTTGCCCCACCTTTTCCATGCATCCTATTGGCCCCGGAACAAAGTGAAACTCATGTAAATAGGGATCCTGCATGCCAACCTGCAACATCTTTGCTGGCCTCAAATAACACTGCATCCCTGAACGCTTTGGCATCGGCTCACGAGTGAGCTCCTCCGGGCTTTAAAACATTTAAAACAAGAGAGTAAGCAACGTCCACTCAGAAACAGAGGGAGGGCGAGGGGAAAAAGCCAAGACTCAGAGGCCTGGTTCAACATTCAAAGACAAGTTGAGCGTTCACAGTCGTCAACGGTGCGCTGGAGTTCCAGCAACAATAACAGAGAGCAACGGGGAGCCTGGATGGGGTACAAGCAGAAAACAAGGACAGATGTGTCCATAAACTGAGGAAGCTGCGGGGCATCTCTCTTGTCTTTAATATTGTTATAATCATTTATTTATCTCTCTCTTGTTCCAAATCCAAAGTAGTGTTGACATTTGGTGACGGTCAAATTCATCAATTATAAAAATTTAAGTTTAAAGGCCACATGTGATGAATAAAAGTTTCTGTTTGTAGCTGTTAGTAATGGTTTTTGCAGTCTTTGCATGACAAGATGACAGTTTAACATGATATGGTTATGAAACACAAACCAAACAAAAGTGCAAGATTGTAACATTTCCTCCTAAACTTAAATATCCAAGTAGAGTCCAACAGCTAAAATGTTGATATAAAATGTGTATAAGCAATTAAAGATAAATTATAGTGGTGTAATTTGTTTATGTTTGACCAAGGGCGCCATAACTATGATTTTTACTGCCTGAAAGCACAAAATTACCATAATACATCTGCAGAAATGTCGACATGGCTGTTGATTACCACCAATGACTCGGTGATTGCTTTGCCAGGTGTTGGGATTTCTGGCGGTCAGACCTCACTTGCTGGCCTGTTCTTCTGTTTTGGAACAAATACTCCCTGGCCATCGATATTTTGAGACATGGCCAGCCTCTTGTATTCACATTTTGAATTGCTCAACCACAGAGAATGGTGCTACTACTGTTGTCAAATGACATGTTGTATTGCACGCATGAAGTGTTACTCATTAAAATGTTTATCTGAGGAATCTAATGCTATAATTAACTTATGCTCTAGCATGTTTTGTGAAAAACATAAGGAAGGTGTCATAAGAAACTTAAAATCAATATAGATTAAATAGCTACATAGACATCAGATAAGTCATAAAATGAATGTGTATTGATAAATGGTATGTAAAGTGCTAAACAATAGCAAGTAGCACTGTGTACCAATAAATAAAAAAAGAAAGAGTGGAAGATACACTGAGACCAGAGTGTTCTGACAGAAGTACTAGTTTACTCAAGGCCTTCATAAGGTTACATTATCAGGTTTTTAGACCAAAGAGCAGCATGCAGTGTGCACCTGTGAAGATATCTTGGCCCAGTCCAGGTGATCGGCCATCTTTGCCGTTGTAGAGGTGCTGCGAGGAGGTGGAGCTCGGTAGGTGCTGCATGGATAGACAGTCACTCAGGACGTCCTGCTCCAGATGAGGACAGGGCCGAAGCTGCCAATCACAAACATAAGAATAAACAGAAAATGTTTACAAGATGTTGAGTCATTTCAAGAGATCTCCATCTGGTCTGCAAGATTACACAACCTAAGAACAAAACACAGCTTCAGTTGTGTCTATTTGTAGGTTGGATCCTATGTTTGGTGTGTTTTGTTTTCTCTTTTTGCAATAACGTGACTGTAATGTTAATTTGAAACAGTAACTCAGCAAATGAGAATACATTCTCAGTCAGGGGGAACCAGGGGGAAGATCATACGCTCCTTTTTGAGTCATGCGTTGGCCTTGGACATTGTGGTTGTGATCACTGTACCAACTCAGAGCCAATGTGAGATTGCTTCTGTTTCTCTCACTGCCAGCAGTAATGGGGGCAACTAAAGACATATTTCAGCTGGAGAGTCGATCACACGCCACGCAGGAGAAACCTAAACCTAAAGAAACTTGTGTCAGTTGAAGAAAGGGGACATCTGCCTTATGGATCAGTGGAACAGCTGACCTCTGTTGAGCACATCAGTGGACTTCTCTGTAATAAAACATTACAGTTGCTGAGGTACACACAAGGACTGGACTAACAACCACATCTCTCCTTTACTCAGGAGATTTACCCTCAAAGACCCAGTAAATTCAACGGAGGGACTGTGACGGGAATGATTATCAGAAGGTAGAAAAACATTTTAAATCAACTGTTTGTAATGCAGCATGGTGCGCCAGAATCAAGACACTAACTAGAGAGAAGAAGAGCAGAGCAGAATCTGACATCTGCTTTGGCTCCAATATCAATTACGGACAAACAATAGAAATGGACATGATGACATGATCTGCTATAGTTTTGGGGGGCTTTTATTGCCTTTAATTGATAGAAACAGCTGAAGAGTGACAGGTACATGAGGTTCCAGCTCTACTAGGACCAGGACACCTCTGCTATAGCAGATTTACTATTCATTCATAAAAAGCCTGATAATGGTTCATTCTTATGTGCCATAGGCTGGCATTGTGGTCCACAAACTAATTCAAAATCTACCAATTTTTAATTATTATTAATAAACAAACACTGATCAAGTATTAGACGATATATATAGTCCACATTCAATTACCTCTTTTATTCTTCAATTCAAAGGTCCAATCTAACATTTAGGAGGATCTATTGGCAGAAATGGAATATAACATTCATACCTGTTTATATTGGTGTATAGTCACCTGAATTGTTGTGTTTTCGTTTACATACTTTAATATCCTTATTCTTTATTCACAAAAAACATGTATTTCATTTAAATTTAGTAATATATAAATCTTCACTTAAGTAAACACTGGAGTTATAATTAGGTTAAGTTTGAACTTGTATAACTGTCTCCTAATCATTTGAATCCAATATATGTCGGTTAAGGAAATCAACACGTAAACTAATTTTAAATCAAGCTTGTATTTTTACATATTTTTCAGCAGAGTGTATAATAGTAAGAAGTGATAACTTGGTAAAGTGGTAACTATGATGCCAAGAGGCATAAAAACCTGGCAGTGTTACCGTGAGTCATTAGGACCAGAACAAGTTTAGTGTGCCTTTAAAAGAAAGTGCTCCAGTTACAGATGACAAGGTCGATGATGTTCACCAAAGGTTTTTTCTCATTCCAACCCTATCTATCTGCCCATCTGTCTCCCTGTGTCTCTGCCTGTCTGTCCATCCATCCACAAATCCACCCTTTGTTATTCCATGAAAATCAATTCCACATTTTGATTTTGTGGTTGGACTGTGGGTGGAAACATTCTTCAGCATTATCAAAATAATCTACTCTAACCCTCTGATTATTCCCACAGAATTCATCAACAGCAATGAGCCAAGTGGACAGATAACAACTTTATCTGCATGTGAGTTATATCTTTTAAGACCTATCTGGCCAGTGAAATTAAGGATAATTGAACCTTTCAGCTTGGTTTCGCTCAACAGTTTTACAGCTGGCATCAACCACCTTATGATTTCACACTTACATACTGTATGTCAATAAATGTGTATATGCATGTCCTCCTGGGGATCCTTATGAGTGCCCTGCAAAACATTCATCACACGTAATTGGGGCTCTGTTTTCTCCACAGCGACACTCCTTACAATTTTTCTCCGGGCTGCTCCAAGAGTGGAGTAAGAGCGTTTGTTTGACATTTGTCCATAACATCTGGCCACTGGGGTATTCCACAGTACAGCTTATTAACAATGCTACAAGCACACATGTGTTTCCCTTTACGACGCTAAGCAAAGGAACACATCATCCAGCCTGCCACTATCCAGCCCTTTCCACAACAATGAGCCCATTCTCTGTTATTTACCCACTTCCAGTCAGGGAAAGAATGGGCTTTTGACCATGAACACGATGAAATGTGGTCAGACCTGATCTATTGTAGGGGAAACGATTCTCAAAGACACCCCTCCACCACCCCGGCCTTCCAACCCCTCAATTAAACTAACTAGATGGATCTGTGGATAATGCACGTCAGAACAGGAGAGATTACATAAATTGGTCTGTTGCTCCACTGTACTGACTTGAATAAAGTCATGCTGTGAGCTGACTAAGAAGGTCCACAGTGACTCTTGAGTAAAGTAATGTAATCTACATGATAAGTAGGGAAAGCCACCCACATATATGTAAGTGCACTAGGATTTGTTATGCAAAATGAAACATGATACATAAAATTACTTTTTTTTAATCATAGGATCAAATTAATTTCTGTCAGCTTCAAGTTAGAGATCAAATTGCTCTTAATTGCTAAAAACAAGGAAATGACAAATGTCAAGTGACAGAAGTTTAACAAATTACTTAATACTTGACAAGAACACAAGGTTACACGTTTTAGCTTTTTGCTTCTCCTCAAACCTCTGTCTCTATCCGCTCCATCCCTCTCCTGTAGAAGGGCTCTTACCTTTCTACGCACCTGTTGCTCTTTGGCCGAGTGGATCTTGACATGTTTGCGTAGGGAGCTGGGATCTGTGTAGCGCTTGGTACAGCCAGGGATCTGACATGCGTACGGTTTCTACAAGCAGAGAGAAAATTCTTCACATCAGTCAAAAGTGGGAAATACATTTAAATTCACTTTATTGTAAGGACACACACAGTAAGTTTGAAATCTGTTGAGGTAAAGGTAAAGTTAAAGTCCTACCTCTCAGCTGAGAATGACAGAATTTGAAGGAAGAAGAAGAAGAGGAGGAAGACGAATAAAAAAGCATGAAAAAGAAAAAAGAAAAGATCCATTATAAAATATTTCAGTACTAAATTATTTCCCTGTAGCGTTTCTCCCCCCCCCCCCAATTCAGGACTTTAAAGCTGGTCTATGTATGTTGTAGTTTAGTAGAATAATAGTTGGGCACGGTTAGTTTTGGCATGATTCATAAAACAATGTGGACATTTCTGCATTGGAATAAGCAATAAGGAGTTATATTTAGCTGTTCAGTGGTACTCTATATCATCGGCCTGTATGTTAGTGTAAGAGCTGATCTACAGACTGGCTATAAGGAGGGAGATGTAGGCAGATTAGAGTAACAGACATGACATCTCTAAAACGGCTGCACTGTCATGGAGTTTCCTCATCATTTCACATTCTTCTCACTAACCAAGCAAATACAGCATGTAGCTAGCTGATTGAGGGATTTTTCCCCTCACGGCAATTTTTCTTTCATCCTCAGGAATATAAGTTGCCCATTAAAGTGTAAGGGGATACACGTCTTTATTAACTCTGCCTCCATACCTTGACCTTCTCTGTAAATAAGCCATTGTTATTGCAAGGCGCGTACAGTGCCACTCATCTCCGCCATGTTTGTTTTGCCAAGCAATGCACCCAATACAGCGCAGAACTTTGAATAAAAAAAAAATCAAGCACAACTTCTGTGTAGAATAAATATCATTAAAGCTAGAAAATGATTTTCCCCCAAAGTGTTTTTGGCAGGGCAGGCAGCTGGGCAGGGAAAGTGAATGCCTTAGCGGGGTGTTAATGTGAAGCCATAAGCATTGGGGTCCCAGATTAGCTGTATCATTTGTCCTACTGTGGAAAGAGTGGGTGGTGGAAGAAAACCCCTTAAATGATAGAATAACACGAGTCCGCGTTCAGGACTCTACTTAAGTAAAAGTTCTGAATGATTTACTATTATGTGTACCAAAAGCGTTGGTGGCTGGCCAATCCAGGAACACAGGGGGAGAACATTTTGGAAATATAAATATTACTAAATAAATGAAATATCTCTTTCAATTTAATTTCAATTTAGTTTTGCAGAAAGTGGTGAATTTGAGAGTTTACTGCTTTAAAAAATTCTCCCCCTGTGTCACTACAGCTACTTCATATAGACTGAAACCAACTGTTTGACCTGATAGAGTGAAGGGAAAAAGAGTTCTTTCCACCATGCTGCTACACGACTTAAGATTAAAGTGTTAACAAATTTAAGGATGTAAAATAGTTTTTGAGGAAGGAGTTTTGTTCCTTATTGTTAGTAATTTTGTAAATCATTTTAGTTAAGTTGTTTGGAGAGTGGAGAGCTGTCACAGAAATGTACATATGGGACCTAATCGAGGATTCAAGAATAGAAAGTGTCATAAGTGGTTTAGATTGTAAACACCTCTGAGATAAATTTGTGATTTTGGGGAATATAAATATAATGTAATTGACTTTACTTGAAGGAATATAGTTCTATGGAAGCAGAGCATCAACGTTACCAATAATTAAATTTCGGATTTATATAAGAACAGGCTTGATTGAATTCAGGTTAGAAAGTCAGTATAAAATTTTTCTTAAATGACTTCTTCAAAGTTGACTTCTGTTATTGTTGGCTTGAAGTTAATATTTCAGAGACTGATCCCAGATGATCTTAAACTATCTAGTAATAATCTCAAACATATAGATATTGACAAGAGGTTTTTGGATTGAAATAGTTAATAAAAACTGGAATTATTTTAAAATGTAGAGGTAAGAAAGAACAAATACCTCAACTGTACTTAAGTCCATAATTTGAGCAAAACAACTTGTTTACTCCGTAGCTTTGTTGGCGTGCGGACGGTGATAAAGTGAAGTATTGGTGGGGTTACTGAGACATGACGAGTGGCAGCGATGGCTGACTCAACCTTTCCTTCCCATTCCACAGGTCAGAGAAACAGGCAAAGCTCTGTCTGAGCTCGCAGCTCCCATCCAAGTTTGTTACGGCCCAAGCAGCGACTCGGCCTAATGGAACTGATCATTTAATGATCTGTGGCATGTCACTGCCCGTGAGGAGAGAGTGAGAATGCCACACTGCTCCCTGACTGACAGCAAATTAAAGTCTAACACTGTCAAGATGTGGAAATAGGCATTGGGACTTGGACAGCAGTGCAGTTTTTAATGTGGGTGTAAAAGTGATGGAGGGATGCAGTATGAGCACACAGCAGGCACACACACCGGCACATACACTGCCTGACTTTTTTTTCGACAACAAATATTTTAATTTTGCATATAATCTAATCCCTGAATGGATTTGTTAGAAACTTGTATCTGGCATGTGCAAACATTTATAGCCCATAATTCCTTCCTTTCTGCAACACAGCGACCACCCACATTTTAACTGTTGGCCCAAGACAGGTTAAACATTAATCTACTTTGTAGAAACATTGGGAGGTGAGACAGAGCAGAGACTTAGTTTCTGACCGTGTCCAGGTGAGTGCGCTGATGCTTGGCGCGATCACTGGAGTTGCTGAAAGCTTTCTGGCAGCCAGGGTGTTGGCATAGGTACGGCTTCTCTCCTGTGTGGCTTCTCAGGTGGATCTTCAGGTTCTCCAGACGTGAAAACGCTTTGTTACAGCCCTCAAACTGTGGAGGAAAGGAGGGAAGCGCGCACACACACACACACACACACACACACATACAGACAAACAAATGACAAAGGAATGCATGCACACACAGATACACGCACAAAGACAACCACACTCAGGCAGGTATGCACAGGACCACACAAGGAAATAAACAATTGCCCACATGTATGCAAACACACACACACACACACACACACACACACATACATGAAGAAGCACACCCACACACACACAGAAAAAAAAAATCAATCATTGTAAAGCTGGCAAATTCTGGTACAATGTGGGCTCTGTATATGTGTACATCTGTGACTCAGAAAGAAGCTGTCCCACTCTTTCCCTCAGTCCCTTGATCACTCGCACAGCTGGAGGAGTTCACTCTACACCGCATATTCACCAGCTATGGAAAAGTGAGAGACGCTTAAGAGCATGGGTGGTATAATGGAGAACATTTTTTTCAAGGCTCTTGAATTACGCAGCCAATTCAAGGACCCTTGTTTAAAACCACATCCACTTGAAAGACAGTGGCATGCGTGACAGTACACCTGCCTCAAGGCTGCCGCTGCATCTAAATTGCAGGGGAAACTGGAGTGTGCCGTCCAGCGGCGGTTAATGGGCTGTAATGCATAGCATGAGATGAGTGTTCTGCTGTGTATACTGCATTAGACTGACAGGTGACAGTGACTGTAAACAAGCTCATATCCGACCCAGCTTGGCCCATTTGATCCAAACCACTCAGCCAATGAAGGCCACAGATTTGTTAACATGTGAATGATTCATGAGGCTTCTCGCATGTCCACTCCTGCTCTTACGCAGAAAACACGGTTGATGAAGAGTCCATGTCAAGACCCCCTACACTGGCTGCTGTGTAAAGAGTCACAAAGTGTATGAGAGTACAGTAGGATGGGGGAAGCATAGCTCAATGTTACTTATATCTACCTAATCTCATTTAGGTATTCAGCATCACCTTGACATCAATTTAATGAGGCTGAACTTGTCACAGGGTACAATAGTGAGGAGCTCATGTTGGCATCCTTCTTTTATCTGAGGACCTCACATACACGGTTTGTATGACGGGCACGGGACAGGTGGATGCATTAAGGTGGGAGTACAGAGACAAAAAGCGGTGGTGGAAATGGAAAAGGCGCTCGCTCCACGAAGAGTAGAAGAGTACATTATAGCAACTAGGATCTATGGAACCAGAGAAACTACACTCAAAAGTCCCTTTTGCCCCAGCCTGTTTGTGTTTGAATGCATATGAGTAACTGTGAAGATTAGACAAATTAGACGGATGACAGATTAAAAAACAACTTCCAAACACGAGAAATAAACAACACAGAGTCAACCTGGTGTTTTTCTAATGTTTGAGTTGAATGTAATGACTGAAAAGAAGACATGCAGAGGTGGAAACGAAGGTCTCCACAGTAGGTGATCTGCTTAGAGTTGATTTCTTGAAAAAAAAGAGAAATGTCCAACATGTTTTACACCTGAAACTACCATACAGAAACCAAATTCAATCCCTGGTTCATCCAGTCCAAACACAGGTTTTGTTCCTGAGTTCCTCAAAACGTTCTCGGGCCCCTGGAGAAGTTCTTTTTGTGGAAACACCCTATTAGAGTATGCATGGTATAGTACTGTATACGGCAACTCTGGTGCCTCTAGGTTGTAGTATCAAAAAAAAAGATACAGTGGCATTCAGCAATGCAGAATTTGAAACACGCCATGATTCTAATACACATACATACATAAAAAAAAAAAAGATGAGATTCCCAACACTCAGAAACAGGGAGCCAGGGGTTCGGTCTGTAGAAAACATGGTGCACCTACTCTGACTTCAAACTCTGAAGTTTTCAATTAAATGTCAGACAATATCTTCTGAAAAAACAGCTTTCCCACTCTTAAATCTTACCTAAAATTTAATTACTTGCCAAGGGCTATACTGACCTCAGTGCAAATACGACTTCATAGCCGAACTGTTGCTGAGGCGCTGCAGTCTCTACTGTCCATTGTACCCTGACCTTTAGTGAAGCCGGCTGACAACAGGTCGGGTTACAGCTAAGGAGAGAGTGACACCATTCTTCTAATGGGCCTTCAGCTTCATCTAGGCTCAATACTCATCCCTGGCCTCCTTCATTCACTCACACAGTACAGGCAGGGCCTTCTATTCACTGAGGCTCCATTTAATATAAGCGAAACCTAAGCCAGTCATGGTAGAGCCGTGTTGGGTGACCAGGCTGATCTGTGGGTCTGTGTGTGTGTGTGTGTGGCTCAGTAAGAGAGTCTTAATCTGCCCGATTACGGTGGTATAACGCACAGCTCCTCATGAAGCTTGTAAGACCTTTGAGCCGATGAGTTTGGAAACAAAAGCATCCTGTCAACATGATCAGACATGTTTCTCATTGTCAGAGTTTTTACAGCAAGCTGCAAACTAACAATTCAAACCAAGCTTGTGAAGTTGGAACATATGTGCACTAAAACATAGGATGTGGGTTATCGAGGTCTTGGAGAGAGAACAAAGCTTGAAATCTTATCATGTTGTCCAAGTAGATCTGGGTATCAATGATGCAAATACATGGAGTTGGAGCTGGAGTTTATAATCAGGAGAAATGCATGACAATCACTGACGTCCCGACTAGACACCAACACAAAAGTCCCAATGAGGCAGAGGACTGGAATGTAGTATAAATTTAAAAAAAAATCTGGATTCTAAAACACACATATTCTGCCCAGTCCTCAGCATACAACCATGGAAAATGTCTTTAAGAGTTCACATCGCACAAAATTGTACAGCGGAAACATATTATTCTAAAGTCATGCCAATCAAATGTTTCGGATGGAAACGAGAGACGCAGCAAGGGTGGGAAAGTTTAATAAAAATCTCAGTGCAGAGGAACATCCACACTGCCATACCAGTCATGACAGACACGGTCCATGCTGACTGCTGAAATATGGCGCCGAGCATTTGAGTTTGGAAAACAAACACGGCTATTATTGACGTGCCAAATGTGTGTATTTATGTATAAGGGAATAATCACTCTTTCATTGCTTTCTTTTCCGCAATACAAATTTGAGGCTAAATTATAGTTACGGGTCCGTGGAGGAAACCGTGTTAATCGTGTAGAGCGTATTATTACTCTGGAAGCTGGACTAGCCGGGAAACGGCTGAGTATGAGGTTTTCCTGCCTGCTGGGAAACCAATAGGCATTGCCACCTCTAGGCATGGATATTACCCAGAACCCTGCATGAAAAATTTTATGCTACAGTAAGAAGTTAAAGCGAAGCCAATCTGCTGGTTAAAATGCTTTCTTCCAGCGAGTTCATGGATTGTCAAAAACCCACTTAGGTTTGGATGTTTGGGGAATGCAGTGCTGTGCAGTTCAAATCCGGCATTGCTCCTGTTATTGAAAGACGTGAATGTTTTTTAACAATATATTGGCATGTATGTGTTTTCTTTTTGGAGTAAAAAGGAAAACAAAAAAAAAATGGGATATACATTCCAGCTTTTTGGGTTTGATTCCTACAAAAAATATAACCATGAAAAGCATACATGTCAATAGGTTCCCTATGTGGTCCATAAGGAGTTGCCTAAAGATAAACTGTTTAGAAAGTAATGAACACATCAAGTTAGAGTGCTATAAACAGAGAGTTGTGGTGGCTGAAACTTCTGACACAAGATTGATTTTACCTTTGATATTATCTATGAAAACAGTTTAGACAGCACTAATCACATTAATTGCTTTAAACATGTTTAGTTTTCCTCTCTGAAACCTCCGTCTAAGGTAAACCGGCAGATCACCGCACGAGGGGAGCGGCGCTGGCAGCATGGAGGGATTTGAGCCCCGTTTGACACCATCTCACTCTTGAGTGGGGGGGTTCAGTAGCTCGGTAAACATTCGGGATGACAGCGGGGTCTTGACATGGCGAGAGCGGGTTGAAAGGCTGGACGGGCAGCTGATCACAACAGACAGATTATGGGCCCAGCATGCAGGCCAGAGGAGGAGCGACGCGCCTGAGGCCTTCATGGGAAATGACTCCTGACTGGCAGGGAAAAGGCCAAACAGTGTCGGAGCTAAAAGGCAGCAGTGTGCGGCCCTCCTCACATGCGGCGGCTCATTAGCAACCTGCAGGAGCTGTGTATGATGGAAACAAACCAGCCGTTATGGAGGGGTGTCGGGAGGAAATATGGCTGCTGACATGCAGGACAGAACTCTGATTAAAAGCTTTAATGAATGGCATAAGAAGAGAAATGCAGAGAGAGAGAGAATCAGAGGTACGGTAGAGGTTTTTTGGAAAAAAATAATCCCACTACGTTCCTTGCAGCCAAGGTCATCACCTACAGGAGTACACTCCCCCACCAAGAATAAGCTCCGGGATTTTCACTCCTGACAGTCGAGCTTGTCTGTGGTTGCTACAGACGCGAGGGAATCTCCTTCAGCACTGATATATCTCTCTGGCCCGGGGCAGTAATTGTAGATCAGGCCTCTGACTAATGATGGGGAGATGGGATTCAACTGTTCCGCTCCTTACTAGCATGAAATTCACTATTACTCATGTTCAGAGGCCCCCCCATAAAAGGAAAAAAGGTCCTCAGAGCCTAACAGCCTCCACCGTTTCTCCACTGTGATTAGTTTTACCTAATACATCCAGGCTCCTTTACAGCCAAGCCTGACAGACACGACGTTGGGCAACGAGTTTTGGTGGCAAAAGAAAACACAGCCAAATAAAACATGTTTAAAGTGCCAATGCTCAAAAGCAGCCTGTAGAACTTTATAAGTATGAAAAAAGGGGTTTGGGGGAATGCGTTGGTTTATCACAAGGTGTCTTTCTCTGCCCTGACCAACGAGGAAAACCACCAACACTTCAGGATCTGTTCAGAGGGGAGGTTGTGCAGCAGAGTGCCCCGGCTGCGGATGGGAGGAACATGTGCATTTAATCTGCCTGCTTCCAAATGCCCTGTGGCAACCACAGCAAAGAGCAGAAAAACGTAAATGGATGAAATTA